ATTTTTCTAGGGTCAGATAAGTGGGTAATAGATTCATACCAACCAACCAACCAACCAACCAACCAACCAACCGACCAACCAATCAATCAACCAGCCAACCAACCAACCAACCGACCAACCAATCAATCAACCAACCGACCAACCAACCAACCAGCCAACCGATCAACCAACCAAACAAAAAAAGCGACAACCAACCAACCAACCAACCAACCAACCAACCAACCAACCAACCAACCAACCGACCAACCAATCAATCAACCAGCCAACCAACCAACCAACCGACCAACCAATCAATCAACCAACCGACCAACCAACCAACCAGCCAACCGATCAACCAACCAAACAAAAAAAGCGACAACCAACCAACCAACCAACCAACCAACCAACCAACCAACCAACCAACCAACCAACCAGCCAACCGATCAACCAACCAAACAAAAAAAAGCGACAACCAACCAACAAACAAACAGACAAACGAGAAAACAGATATCGTGACAAAGAGCAAACCAATCGCTTGACTCCGGGATGGAAAGACTCACTGGAAACACGCCACAAAGTAAACAGACGAACCTGCTCAAAGGGTCACCTGTCTAAGACAATCACCAGTACAAACAATCAGTTCCCACTTCTACCATCACTTTCTGTACATTAGAATAATAACAGCATCTAAAGCGTATACTTGACCAATGATTATAAATACTTTAATTAATATAAAATAAATATTATTTGAGGTCTCTGCACTTGACTAAGACAACCACTTTTCTCTGCTGCAAAAGCTGGCTGTTGGGGACAATCAATGAACACAATATGAAAATGATTACTTTCAAGTTTCGAAATAAGATGATAATGTGGAACTCTTGGAATATCGTGGCCACAGAAAAATAAATCAAGTACTAAATATAATAGACAATGAAACGCCAACACTCATATGGAGCATAAAAAAAGCTGAAACTGAACTCAAGTACTTTAGGCATCCCAAAACGCAATCTGATTCACCAACATTTTGTTTTCTTCTGGAAGCAAAGAAAGACGGAGGGAGAGGAAAAGGGGATGGGGTGGGGTGGGTAGACCTAACAGAATATGTGAGCAGGACATAAAACTTTGGCTAGGAATCAAAATAACTTAAGCAGGTCAAACGGCTTGAGATAGATTATTTTTCTACAGAAAGGTAAAAGAAATAACACCTTTGTTCTGGAAAGGGTATGAGTTTGGATTTTATTTCAGACTATACTTTACAGAGAATACGTGTAGTGGGGGAGCAAACAAACAAACAAACAAACAAACAAACAAACAAAAACAAACAAACAGACAGACAAAAAAATTAACAAACCAACAACCAAAAAAAAACACCAAAAAAAAACCCCCACAACCACAAGCAAATTAACTACCTAACCCCCTCCTAAAAATAACTGAACCCCC